TTAATAGCATTACAGCTCTCTTAATATTAACATGTGAATTTTGAACGTATTTATGCTTATAAAGAAGTATTAATACATAACTTTTCATTGAATAAGGACGGAAAATTTATTTCACTCTCTCCATCGACAAGCTAGTATAAGCTCCATTAAAATTACGCACATTTTGAGATATATAATTAGTCAGCTATTGTTACCGGTTAAGCACACGCATAAGTAATATCGCAGTGCGGGAAATAGCTGTTTAGATAAAAACTTATAGTGGAAGAATGGCGGTGCCGGCATATTTCGATGTACCGCGATACGTATTCATGAAGTTGTCATTGAGTTCTTAACATCGTTCTCTTTGTGTGTTATGACGCACTGTGTTCCAAAAGAAGACTCAAATAACAATGAGATCATTGCCTTCATTCACCTTACGGTGCACTTTACTATAACAAAATTAATCGATCATATTTCTAGATAAACACATTAGTTTTGATAGAGTTTAATGCTATTCTAATACTATTATAATATATATTTTATCTCTAAAATATATATATATATATATATATATATATATACTTAGATATACCTAATCTAAGTTTTAAACATTGAATATCTATACGACCTCCATAATATTTGACAAATGTATTTTCTTTGTTTAAGAAGAAAAAACTGTAAAACTTAGAATGTCTGATAAACTTTTCCGGAACAAGAAGGTGTCCACGTGGACATATAACTATCAGTCGCTCGTAAAGCAGGATCGCGTAGGCTTCTCACCATGGAACAATGCCTGTCGCTACATCGTGATACGTTAGTACACCACTCGCTTTCGGTATCGGACTTGTCTTTTATCGCAAAGCCACGCTCATACGCCTTGCCAACGCTCGACAAGTGTTCGTGACATGCGGGTGGAACTCTACTTTTCACCCTTTCTCCACTTTGCACTATTTCATTCGAGTCGAACGATAATAAATTAAATGTATTAACATTTATCAGAAACAAGGCTAATACTGACGTTTTAGAATTGGTACAAATGCTGTAGTTATATAATATGTATGTATAAATATGCATAAAATATTTTATCTTAATTTTTGTTAATATAGTGTATTTTATCAACATATAAATATAACAAATATTATTAGTCATATATTGATGAAATGGCAATGTGAAAACCCTATGTAAATAATATATTTTTTTTCATCGATAATATATATCAAGATAATAATCTTTATTCCAATTATTAATAAAACCTTATTTTTTGTCATTCAATAAAAGTGTCATTCAATAATAAAGCGATAAAATTTAAACGTTAATTTATCTTCACTAATGTGTAGCAAATTTGATAATTTATAGAGTAACTTAACTATTGACACCGTTAACATGCGAATAACATGACCGGCGGGAATTATACATTGTGATTTAGCTTGCAAATGGCGTCATTTGAAAATTACTGGTTGAGTTTGCTACACAAGACCAGAATATACTACTATCAGTCACTTAACGATAGGTTATCGCTCTACCGGGTGCTCTTTGACGATTACTTCACATCCGCCTGGAACAGTCGTCCCTAATCTTTCCGACGATGAGTCCGGCCACCTTCCGCCAGTATTTCACTTTTATTCTAGGTAAAAGTTCATACGGCATCATGGACATCTCCCGTAAAGAGTGCTTTTAAATTGTTAATTTTGAAATACTACAAAAACAATTTCTATTAAGATAGGTACATATTTCAATCATCGGCCCATCTCTTAATTTTAATTATGAATATTTTATTAAATATTCGTCGTTACTGTCGTGAGGTCGAATGCAGTTGTTATCAAACATCTCTCACTTTCCATAAATCGCTTTGAAGT